CCAAATATATATTTTCATTTGATCTATCCTATATATACACAATGCTTGGGTGAGCCAATATTTGACCGTGAGAATGTCATTCTTCCTAATTATCTTAGTTCCATTCTTGGCTTAGAGATTCATATTCCAATAAATACATATCTACAATTAATTCTCCAAAATCATCTACTCTTCAATTCAAAAATACTAGGACAATCAAAATTCCATACTATCATGATGATCGAACTTGTAGTTCATAGTTTACTCAAAATTTCATTATGAACTTGGGTTTCATAGATTACTCCACTTGTCATTATGAACATCTTGTTCATAGATTACTCCAGTTGTCATTATGAACATATGGTTCGTAGGTTACTCGCACATCATTATGAACATGTAGTTTATGGATTACCCAAATATCAATTACTTCAAAATACTTTCTAAAAAAATCTATTTAAGATTCAAGTCTCAAAATAATGTGCCAAACATCTCCAATTCAATGTTAAAGTTAACGAATCACGGTTTACCCAAAACTAGTTCCAAAATAGTGTTTAATACCATATTCAAATAAGTGAATACGAATATTTCTAAATCCATAATATATATATATATATATATATATATATATATATATATTCGTACCAAAATCTACCTATAAACATATATAGTTTGTCTCAAAATAATCTCCACAATTTTCCAAGTCAAAATATCAATTTCTCACAATTCACTATTTCAGCCATAACAAACTAATTTGATGAATTCTCCCAAAATCATACGTACATAAATTTCTAGAAAATCATAGATCATAATACGCATCATAAAATTTAAGAAAGAAAATCAATTCATAGGGGCAAAGTAGTAATTTTGATTGCAATAGTCTTTACCTCGAGGCTAGCAATGAATCCTAATCGTGAATCCTAGCTTTAAAGGTCACACACACGTCTCTAGGAAGATATAGGTTCTGGGATTATAACTTAGGAGAGAAAAATAAAAGAAAACAGGAAAAATCGTTAATTGCGCACTTACCGGGAGATTAGGATGATTGATCTCTTATTGGTCTCAAAAATATTCTTGGATGTGTTAGAATTGAAGAGTTGGAAGAAATAGAGCTTAGGAAGTTGGTCATAGAGTTTTTGGAATGAATAAATTGGATTTAGGGATGTATTTATAGCAAAAATCCGAAGTTGGGTCGAACTAAGCCAAAAAGGCAATCTGGGTGCATGCACGTCGTGCGGACCACAATGCGGACTTGGCAGTAAAATCCCGCACACCGTGCAAATGTTTCCTGCACGCCGTGTGGGGTTCCCATGCGTCCCAAACCTTAGCTTTTGCTCTGTTTCTTTCTCGATTGGACATCCCCTTGTTCCTAAACACTAAATAAAATGTAATAGGCTATCTAAAGACCCTCTAAACGGTACAAATCAAAGTTTTAACTATTTCCTAAATTCTCTCAAATTTTCGGGGTATTGCAACAACATCCTGTGACTCCATAAAGGAGTCACATATAGTTCTTTAAAGCTACTCATTTTATTCTACCACCATGTAGTGGCTAATTCTTGAGTCGACCACTGTGGTCTTTAATTTTTGGGATCAAATGTAAATTATATTAACACCCAAACAAATTTAATAAGTACATGCGTCCAAAATTTCAATAGCCCCCCAGACAAGGGGGGGGGGGGGGGTGAGCTATGAATCAAAAGAAAGATCAATTGCCCTACAACATGAAGATATCTAGGCAACCAATCAATTCTAAATAGTGATGTAAGGAGCACTCACTAAAAATCACAATTCAAAAGTACCCCGTGACATAACAAAAAAGGGCTTTGATCCCACATCAGAAATTGATCAACTCTCTCGGGTAAAGGCTGAACATTATTTTGCACACCATATGCTTTATCTTCTCAATGACATCTTCTTCCTTCATGTGTGAAGCATCAAATCTGGCCGTGTTTCTAGTTCGCTAAATCAAATAAACTATACATTACAAACTAATACAAATGGCCTTCTTGACCCACTTGACCGCACTCCCAAGGGTTGTCATTTGACGTTCAATTCCCATCCCACTCTTTATAGCCGTCCAAACCCTATAAGATAAAAGACAAAAGAAAAATAGACGTGTTGCCATCTTTGGCTCACCCTTATATAAGTCACAACCATTTATAAGATTAAGGCGCATAATGTTATCCCCTGTTGCAAGTTTATCATGAAAAGCAAGCCAAGTGATAAACGAAAACTTTGGAGGAATGTATTTCTTTCATATGAAAGTCATCCGTGTCCTAACCGTACCACAGGTTCGGAGATCACAGATTTTAAAGGAATATAAATATATTTTCCCATTTTCACAAAAAGAACTCAAGTGTGTAATAGTGGTGTGTAGCATATAATGGGCACACAACTATCTTTTACCCAAGGAAGTAGGGTGTCGAACCACAGAGAAGCGGGAAATAAAATAATTAAGCACAAACTAAGGATTAAAGTTGGGAGTGCGTTTCTTTTTATTTTTTTGGTTGCTTGGAAAAGTAATAAAATAAAAGTGATTGAGATGAGAGATTTTTATCAACACAAAGTTCAACCAATAGCAAGTAGGGGTAGAAATTGGTAACTAATTGTTCAATGTTTAATCGAAAGACATAATTGCTAATTTTATTCTTAGTTAGATTGTGAGAAGTTGTAGATAAATATTTTAGGACCCAACACAAGTCATCTAAAATAAGTAACTAGTCAACATTTCCCAGTGATGGCCAAAATGAGACTAGTTGTTTAAGTGCAACGACAACCTTAATTATTAACTATATTATTTACCCAACCCCGTGGTGTAAATAATATAATTAAATAATTAAATTCTCCCGTAAAACTTCAATCCGGGACAAGGTAAAAGAAGTTTAACGGTGTGTTCAGAAAGTGTTCATTTGTGTATTTAACAAACAATATGTTTATGATTGAGTACTCATAATATATATATCACAAACATAACTTAATTAATTTTCTGGACACAACAATCTAAATAGAACAAACTTAACAGTTAAAATCAATACAAATTAAAACATGATAAGAACAATTAATTAACCGATTTCTAGCCCCAAATTTATTTAGCTATACATGTTTGGAAGCATAGAAATAGATGAATCCATAATTAAAGTACAAGATTTAATGAGATAAGGAAGATCAAACTTGTGATAGATGACAATCCTTGAAGCTTTGGTGCTAATCTTGACTTAATCTTGGATAAAGAAGTGATTAATTGATGTTGAAGATTGGTTGATGATTTGGAGGTGAAGAATGAAGAGAGAAGGAGGAGGAAATGATTCTGGGAGTTGTAGAGAGAAGTTGGCTCGAGATTATGTGTGGAAGGAGATGTATTAAGCCTTATAATGATAAGGTGATTAATCATTAAACTGCTGGAATTTACGGAACCAAAGAGTATATGTACAAAAAAACGCATCCAAGGACCAATAACGTGTAGTAGTGCAGCGGTCATGGAGAGTTGTTGTGACACGGAGGTTGTGGGTTCGATTCTGTGCGTTGACTTCTATTTTTCTCTTTTCCTTGCTGCATGGGAATTGGGATGCTATTAAAATAAGCTCCAGCTGAACTATTTCAACTTAGACTCTCAGCCCGCCGGTTGAGCGTGCCATCTTTCAATTTTGGGGCCAGGGTCCGAATCCCATCTCTATTTTTTCTTAGTTTTGCTTCCTTTCTTCAATGTACTCCATATTTGCTTTGAAGGAGATTCCACTTTTATTGACCTCTAACTTGAACTTTTATTTTTTTCATTTCTTCACACTCAAATGTATCCAAATAGCATCAAATGTACCTGAAAATATAAAATACCCGTATAGAATTGCACAAGTACAGACTAACGATAAATAATAAAAATATGTACAATAGTTCAACTTTAATAACTAAAATTAACAACAAACCAAGCCTAAAAGGTGTGTAAAATATAAGTACATCAAATAGCCTCCACAGGAGAGGCAAAATAGGCAATAATGTTACCTCTAAATTGGGCCAACTTTTTTATAAGTCGGGAGTCTCGAGAATGTGGAGTACAAAAATTCCTCTCAAATAAAACAATATTGACCCATTTCACTCGAAGGGTATCGGTCTTGGCCGACTTTTATGACATGTTTGTTTGGGGTTAACCTAGGTTATTGAAGGTTCAATTTCTAGTTAACCCCGTTTATTTGTGTTATTGCAACAAGAACCTAGGTTATGTGTTAACCTCACTTAACTCCCGAGAACCTAGAAAAACCTTAAATTGTAGAACCTCCGAATCGGGGGGTTTTGGAGGTTAAGTTCTAGTTTAACATAAAATGAGCTAGAGTACTTTTATCCAAACAACATTTATTACATTAACCTAGGTTCACCTTGTATATTTCCAAACGCTATTTTGCGTATGGACATAAGTTCACTTAGATTAACCTAATTTTTATTAAAATTCAGGTTTACTTTATTGCACTAAGTTTACTTAACTTCAGTTTTCGCAAACAAGAACATTATCTACAAAGTATGTCTCAAAGTGTCCGAGTCAAAAGAGCCTCATTCCATACTTGGGAGTTTCTAAGGCCACCCTCCTCCTTGGCCGGCCTTTATGCTAGGCTAGCATTGTACTCCGTGGTATGTATGTACCTAACAAATTTGTTTTGAGTGCACTAGCATAGCGTATAGTTGTGTCAACACCCAGTCCATTAAACTTCGAAATGGATGCAAAGTGGACATACTAATTGATCAACTTTTGAGTGGACATCATAGATGCCACGACATGGAGCAGTGTTTGGTACTTGGGTGTATGCAAGTTGCAACACCTTTGTGTTTTGTTATGATTTGAACTTTATGATCTAGGTGCATGCATGTGTAGCACCGATGTATATTTTTGTTTTTTTTGACGGGACAAGTATTTATACTTGACTTTTTTGGCGTAGATTAGATCAAATAAAAACCTCCTTTCATTCCTACATCATGTGGGGTGGAGGTTAGGAGATATAGGATATACGTGTAATTTTCTTGGATGCAAAGTTGAATTTTTAGATGACGGAGCGAGAGCAGGGGTAAATACAGTACTAAACACTGCTGAAAAAGAAAACTGAGACGTATCTGCTCCTTCTGACCTCTTTAACTCCTTGTCTCTAGCTCCGTGTCGTCTTCATTCACCACCCAACAAAAGACAAAAAGGAAAAGGAAGTAAACGCAGAGAGCAGAGTTAGTTTAAGCGAGACCTAAATCCTGCTTCCCTGCACGGTGCTCGCCTTTTCAATTCTTGTCAAGAACCAGTTTGGATCGAATTCCCGCTTCCTGGGACTCGTATACATGCAAATACAACAGTACGTTACATCTTTATTTGAGTAAACAGTGCGGTAGTGGTGATAAACAAGACACGAGGGAATAAAGATTTGATTTTTAGAGCCAAGGAATATGAGCAGTCATTTGGCACCGGCGGCGCCACTGCCCAAAAGAAACAGTATGGTTCAGAAGAACCGCAATCCGTCAACAGTCAGAAAACCGTCCGCTCCTTCTGAGAATGGGAGCGGCACCGCTAACGGCGCCAACGTTAAACCCACCTCTCCATCTCACTCGTAAGTACTTATTGTGTGTGGGTGTGTGCATTTCCTGGGGTTTTACGTTTCTTTCTTTCATTCTTTGCCCCCCCCCCCCCCCAAACAGAAAACGAGGGATACTGTAGTTTGCTGTTTTTCCATCTTTCTCAGAGCTCAGTTTAAAATCAAACATTTGTCTACTATATTCTGTTCTGACTCGAGCAGGATTGATTTTTTCAGATGTTTCGTTGATGTAGAATTTCCCACTTTTGTACTTGCAGGTCTTTTAATGGGGAGAGAACGGTTAAGAAGCTGAGGCTGTCAAAGGCATTGACAATTCCAGAGGGCACAACTGTATCTGATGCTTGTCGCCGCATGGCAGCTAGGCGTGTGAATGCTGTCCTACTCACAGATGCCAACGCACTGCTATCTGGCATTGTCACTGACAAGGTTTACTTTATGAAATGTTGGCTGTGCTAATTTATTTTGATTAGTGTTTTCTGTTGTGAGAAATATAAGGGAATGAGAATGAAACAGAAATGTCTATATTGGTAAGTGGGTGGGCAAGTAGATGGGTGGTTTATTTGAAAAGGTTGTCTTTTGGTTCAGTTATTAACTTAAGTTTTTGTTTGTTTTTTCTTTTTAAATCTGAAAGGATATTGCTACCAGAGTTATAGCTGAAGAACTGAGGCCTGAACAGACGATAGTTTCAAAGGTCATGACAAGGAACCCTATATTTGTAACCTCTGATATGTTGGCTATTGAGGCTCTTCAGAAGATGGTCCAAGGTTGCATTCTTACCCTTACCTTTCTTCATGTGGATGCTATCCTAGTAGTCATAGATTAAGTGTTTTCTTTGGTTTCTTCTAGCTTCTAGAAAGAAACCATCTTAGCCCTATGATCATTCTCATATCAAATTGAATTCATTTTTCTGTGTGCCTGGCACTCATTGGTTAGTTGATGCTTTCTAGCTGTTTTTGCATTGGACCATCATGTTATAGCTAGACTTGTCTTCACCATTCATAGCTTCTGAAAGATCCTTATCAAACTAATTTGAATGTCTAGATGACTAGATCTTTAGTTGGACAAAATAGGCACATCGCTGTGTTTCATTTGATGATATGTTAAAAATGAAAATCATGAACCATAGTATTCACTACAGTATAAAAAACTCACTTTAGGGTAAACAAATGTGTCTGGAGTAAATCCGTGTCAACGAGACATGCTTAACAGTAATGTGCATTAGAGTTGCTTGAGGAAAGTGGTTTCTAGGCCTCTTGGGATGTAGCTTTCATTTTCCAAATGGAGTATTATGATTTGACCTTTGTCTATCATTATAGGAATAGGTAAACTAGCGACTCCATCAAATATACGAGGTAGCAACATTGTACATGAATACATGATGAAATAGGGTAAACTAATGACTTTATCAAAGACATGTGTTAGTGGCTTTGTACTCTAATACGCGGCGAAACTGTAGGCTGGACGTTTCATGTGACATTGTGACCCCCACAAGACTGACCCGGCTACATACACAGGTAGATGATTTCAGGTCCTTGAGATGTTTCACACAAGAAAAGTCTTCTACTTCAAACCTCCAGGACACCCGTCTTCGCAACTAAAAAGGTGTATAGTTCTAACCACCATAAGTTAAATGAGTTAGTTTAATAAGTTAGGAAGTGTACAAAGGATTTGAAACACAAGCTTTCGTGGAAGCCAATTCTCACAATGCTTTAATATATACACACACTCTCTTAGGAGGTGTTTACTTCGCTGCTAAAGTCACAGTTAGGTTAGTAAGACAGGTGAAGTAAACACGCACGCTGCTTAAAAAGTCGCTTACTAACCGAAAGAGGTGCTTAAAGTGCCGCTTACTAAGCATACCACCCCCATGTATTAACTAAGCGGCACTTTAAGCCTTTTCAGTTTCCGAATTTACCCCTTGCCCTTACCCTATTGCTACCCTTTTACCCGCTACCCCACCCCGCCTACCCTACTACCCTGACCCCACCCTACCCACTACCTCCATCCTCATACCTTACCCCTTACCCCTACCCTACCTCCGACCATTACCCCACCCCCACCTGTACCCCTTTTGCCTACAATGACCCTACCCCACCCCCTACCACATGCCCCCACCTCGGCCCCACCCCTACCACCTCGACCCCACCCGACCCTACCCTGCTCCCCTTACCCTTACACACCTACCTCAGCCCCATCCCGACCCCACCCCTGCCTCCATCCTACCCTACCCCTACCTACCTTACCCTAACCCCGACCCCACCCCTAGCCCTTATCACCCTAGGTCAAACCCCTACCCTACCCCTACCACATGCCCCTACCTCGGCCCCACCTCGATCCCGGCCCCACCCCACCTTACCTTACCCCGTTCCCGACCCCACCCTACCTTACCCAGACCCCGATCCCACTCCCTACCACTTGCCCCTACCTCGGCCCCACCCCGATCCCACCCCTAGTTCTTACCACCCTACCCCCTCCCCATCTCCCTATCATTGTAAAGGTAGGGGTAGGGGTCAAGGGTGTGGAATTGGGGATAGGGTGTAGGGTGTAGGCAAGGTAGTCAAAGTCGAGCGCCTGGGCGCTTAAGCGCACCAGGCGCAGCACACAGAAGCCTCAGCGCTTGAAGAACGATCAGGCGCACCCCCCCGCCTAAGGCGCAGCTTAGGCACAAAAGCGCTAAAGTGCAACTGCAATAAAAAGCACTCGCTGTTTGCGCCTGATAGGGGAACACGTTTTAATAAAGCACGTCTAAATAAGGTCAAAACAAAATATACCTACGCTAAACAACACACCTACGCTAAACAACACACCCGTCAAAATATACCTCTTCGCTCCTCCTGTCCTCCACATCAACTGCAGAAGTTGGCCGCAGTAAGCTTTCTTCTCCATCGTTCTATTTTCTTTCTTTTTTCTTTTTTCTTTTTTCAGTATCTACTCCTTATATACTCTATACAACTCAAAAATATATATGTAAACTACCAGTATAATGGTCTGTCATGTGCAACAACACTCTTCATTGTGCCATTTTCTTTGTTCTTTACTTTTTCAGCATCCTTCTTATATAGTTTATACTCTATTACTCTAGATACCTAAAATCTAATTATGTTTTATTTTTCAGTTTGAAAGTTTAAGACTTTAAGTTATGAATTCTGAATTTGGTTGTTTTACTTTTGTGAATCATGAACTTTTTTGGTTAATCATGACTTTATTTTGCTGAAACATGACTCTTTTTGTGAGAAACCTGACTTTTTTATGTAGTTAGTTCAATATGGTGTTATATACATCATGTTTTATAATTGAAGAAGAGTATATGTGATACTTTCTAAGCAATGCGCCTGACACGAGTCAGGCGAGCGCTTTTTTGCGCCTTGCGCCTCAGGCGCTGGGAATACCCTATCGCCTTGAATGCGCCTCATGACTTTGACTACCTTGGGTGTAGGGTAGGAGTAGGGGTAGGGGTGGGGGTACGCGGGGCGGGGTAAGGGTTAGGGGTATGGGTACACGTACGAGGTGACCCCACATATTATATTATATACTTGTGTTCATGAATGTTTGTGTGTTTATATATGTATAGGGTTATTTTAGACATTTTAATGTTAAACGGTGTTTTAAATCCTTTGAAGTAAACACGATGTTACAACATTGCTTATTTTATGTGCCGCTTATTAACGTGGGTCTTAATAAGCACCGTTTAGTAACCCGTGAAGTAAACGTGTCCTTAGTACAACATCGGTGATCAAACCAAATGTATGAACACACTTATTTTTAGTGCTAAGAACTAGGAGGAAGAGACAAAGTTATCAAAAAAATTCCATTTATACTGGTGATAGCGAGCCACTTATAAAATAACATTTGTTGAGGATGTCAATACTCTGAATATGAAGACGGACTTCTAGTGAAGATGCTCAGTGTGAGCTATTTTAAAAAAGTAGTAATGCTTCCCGTTAGCAACCCGATTTCAAAACTAATGTAAATGTCAAACAAAAAGTGTTTGAATATCAACAACTCTTAAATAAGAAAGTTGATTATTTTTGTCCCATAAATCTTCATTCAACTGTGAACAACCAATAATCAGAAGGTGAGTGAGTCATACCTTGTAGAGCCTTGGACGGAGAAGCTGTGAGAAAAATCATCTTGCAGGACTGCAACACATCACCCCATTACAATTTACAAGTCTTTTATGTAAGGATATTTCTAGGTTGCACGCTTTTATGTAGTAATGGGGTTTCAACCTCTATTCCTGTTGTGATACAATATCTTGAACAGAAGCTGGCCTTTTTAGTTTTATTTCTATCTTTTTACTACTTCTAAAGCTTAAACTTGATTTTTGTCCTCTTTTTTACATCACCTTTACAGGAAAATTTCGCCACCTTCCTGTTGTTGAAAATGGTGAAGTTATAGCTTTATTAGATATCACAAAATGCCTTTATGATGCTATATCAAGAATGGAGAAGGCTGCAGAGCAGGGCACTGCTATTGCAGCAGCTGTTGAAGGAGTGGAACGTCAATGGGGAAACAGTTTGGCTGGTACTGTGGCTGTCTTTATGGAATTGAATCATGATTTCATTCAAAATTTGTATGCTTGATATTGTTTTTCTTTTGCATGGATTTTATTCAGCCCCGTCAGCTTTTGTTGAAATACTTAGGGAGCGCATGTTCAAACCTGCTTTGTCCACAATCATTTCAGAAAATGCTAAGTAAGGATTTGAACCCTCACTGTCTTCTTGCCTTCTGTTTTTTCACAATATGTGTTTTTTATGATGGGTATAACATGATTAAGCTTGAACCATTGGTTTATATCAGGGTCGCAATAGTGTCCCCATCAGATCCTGTGCAAATTGCTGCTAAGAAGATGCGTGAGCTGCGGGTTAATTCAGTCATAGTTATAACAGGGAACAAGATGCAGGGAATATTAACGTAATCATTTCTATTTCTTCAGGCTTCTTCAATGTAGCAAAGTCGGCAGTTACTATGACTCGAATTTATTTCAATTATGTGACATCCCTTTTTGTTTCTCATAGAGGTGGCATTTTTGGTCAGGTTCAGTTTTGTAGCTGACAAAAAGTCAAAAGTACTTTATAGTGATGCTTTTGAGTTACAACTTTATAGTGATATGGGCATGCTTTAGTTTATTTTTAATATTATATTTATTATTTTATTATAGTTATTATTAGGTTCCTTTATAAGCATTAGTGTTAGTTTCATATTGTTATTAGTTATTGTAGTTTCCCATTAGTATATGAAAACTTTTTTATTTAATATGCCTAGGTTAGAGTAACACTAATAGTCTATTGCTGGTCTACCAACTACCAGAACTCTTGAAAGTAGTATAAATAAAGGTGCTTTATTCATCAATATTTTTGGAGTTAATTCCTGGAGTCTTGACAAGGTCGGACGCCACCTTTTCTTGCCTAGGGCGGAAAAGTTCTTCATCTATTTTTTTGATCTTATTCTTATCTCTCAACCATGCCTGTAACACAACCATCCAACTAACTTCACACTTCAACCATTTATCTACCTATGCTTTGCATATTGAGAATTGCTTAAAATAGCTCCCACTCTCTTTGACCTACGGAATCAGCACATTTTGCACCTATTGTTTCATAGCTGAAGGATATGAGATATCTAATGCAATTTTTTGGGATTACTATGCAGTTCTAAGGACATCCTGATGCGTGTAGTGGCCCAAAATCTCTCCCCCGAGCTTACATTGGTGGAAAAGGTACGAATGTATTAGTGAATGAGTTATTTTGATCCTCTGCCAAGGCCTTACCATAACCTGACAAAAAATAAACAGTGTTCTTTTTTAAGGCTTGGCTGGTTGTTTGCTAGGATGGGTAGAATATAAAATTTGTCATTTCTTTCTGAGAGCTGCATGTGTGGTCGAAGGCTTATTTGATATCTAAAAAGGGCTTCTTCCTTTGTCATGTATTTTTCATGCCATTTGCACTACTTTAGTGCCGTAAAAAAGTGCCGTAATATGCTCTTTACAAACATTTCCATGAGTTATTTCATTTCATTACTTTCTTCTCTGTTGGTGTAATCCTGCAGGCTGATGCCCAAAACTCATTCTTGTTACATTTCATTTAGCTCTGTGCTCAATTGGTAGTTTTGAAGATCATAAATATCAAGAATGCGTCCAAAAATATGACATCAGTGCCATATTATATGTTTGATGACGTTTCTTATCATTGTTGTAATGTAAACTATATTCGGCTATTTCTATTTCAAGGTAATGACACCAAACCCTGAATGTGCAACTTTAGATACAACAATCCTTGAAGCTCTACATATTATGCATGATGGGAAGTTTTTGCACCTTCCTGTTGTAGACAGAGGTTAGATGTTAATATTTTTGCTTTTTGTAGTACTTTTATGTGCTAACTGAGAAAAGTGGGGTTAACTATCGGTGTAACCATTTTTTTCCAGAAGGAAGTGTTGTAGCATCTCTAGATGTGTTGCAGATAGCTCATGCATCAATTTCCATGGTAAGTGAACCAATGATACACACTATACATCTTTGGTGTCCTTTTGACCCTTCTATAAGTGATGAATGTTAATATTTTTTAATGTCTATTGCCTTGAACTAATTTATTAGTCCTATCTCCTATTTGTGACTTTTCTATTTGAGCTACATGAAGCACAATCTGATAGGAACTCAACAAACGCAGCAGAAAATGAGTAGTATATTGATTAGAAAGTCCGATGAATTATCAGGATTACTCGAACAACAATGGCAGAAATAGAAAGAAAGATAAAAAACAGGGTTGAGACTCTTTGAGAGGTCTTTCGTTCCCAGCCTAATTTCAACTAAAATTCTGCCTAACCCCTCCCCCCTCTCTCAGCTACTATTAATACTACGTATCCTAGCATGAGGTTGCCACCTCAGCAATTTATTTACATTTATCGTGCTCCTATTAGACCTTTATACTATTCTTCAATATATTACTCCCTCCATCCCACTAAGATTAGGACAATTCGGTTTACGATGCTTGACCGACCATAAAGCAAATAGATCTCTGACTGCTCTCAAATTATTTTTAGAAAAAAATAATTACATATTCAAAAACTACATTAAAAGCTTTACAAAGTCGCAAAAACCTGGATCAAATTTGATAAAAATTTGATATATAAAATAAGAGATTAAGAGTGATTTGTGTTGACCAAGTGAATAGTGTCTGGGACAATCTTAGCGGGACGGAGGGAGTATTATTAATAGTACTAGTCTGCCTGGGTATTTTTGCCTTTGTTGCTGCAATTAGAGGACTAAAGGAATATATGATGTGTTAATATTATGTGTAGTTTGAGCTAACACGCGCATACATGTTTTCTCCAGGTGGAGAGTAGTTCTGGTACTGTTAATGATGCTGCAAATACAGTAATGCAAAAGTTCTGGGATTCAGCTCTTAATCTGGATCAATCAGATGAATGTGACACTCAAAGGTAAAGATAGTAATGCACTCAACTACAACGTCCAAGCCTTAGTCCCTAAAGATTGTGAACATGGATAGATATTGATTATTTGATTGTGAACATCAGATATATATTGCAATGCACTGAAAATTATGGATTGCCATGTGTAAAACAAAAACAGTTTTGTGACCTTGAATTTTGTATAAAAAGTGTGGTTTGTGACTGTAATTTCTGCATCGATTGACTTTTTACTATGCAGTGAGCCGTCTATGTCTGGTGCACTGACATCTGATTGGACAGAAACCGGGAGGTCCTCATATCCATCCCTTGGTCTTGGAAATTTATTCACCTTCAAATTTGAGGACCGAAAAGGGCGCGTACACAGATTTAGTTTTGGTGAGTCATTTTTTTTGTATATGTGGTGACACTAGATTAACATATGGTCACATTCTAAATAGGTAGGCTGACTTATGAAGTTTTTTCCTGTGGTTAGTTTAAAATTGTATTTCCTAATTAGAGGCACATTTAATAGGGGTACAATTTACCTCAACGCATCGCCATCCACTGTTTTGACTTGTAATTCACGTATCATTTCATATCATCATTGCATCAACATTTTTGCAACAAAATCCTTCTATACATTTTACTATACTGTCTTAAAGTTAAATATCAAGGAATGGGAGTGGATGCAGTTTAAACGGGTTGGGTTTTGACAAAAACGCAAACACCAAAGCAAACTAGATTATTCAGGTTGGTTCGGTTTTTCATTTAAATCGTTTAACCTGGGTTGGTCAGTTTGGTTCTTTGTGGTTCTTTTTTCTTTTCATATTAAGAAACAGTTCAAGAACTTATCTATTTGTGAAAAGATGGAGAAAAACTTCCGTACTTCTTTTTAATATTGTTTGTTTTCAATTTATTGAAAGAATTATCTTTATCTTTTAAGTAGTTCATCCTATTCAAGCCAGTCAACAATTTTAGTTACAGTCTCATTAATATCTTCTTCATAATTCAGTCAGTTTCCATTATTAATTTGAAACCTCTGTGAAAGTGCTAGATCTATATTAACCTATCTAAATTTGACCTGGTTCTTAAGAGAACCATTCATGTTGAGGACCTCAGAAACGTTAAGACTTAATTACGATTATATGCGTATATTATCTCGGGAAGAACAAAACTACTCTTTCTCTTGAGCAATAAATTTTTTCTTAGAATTGTAAATACATATAGCGTACTCCAAGAAATTTCTATACAACAGTACAATTTTTCTAGGAAAAGTGATAATTATTTAGACTTTAGAGTGACAAAAGAGTTTTGTATTTTTGTTCATTTGTTAAGTTTCGCACATGCTTTGATGAATACAAAAATATATGCAAGTGCTTTGGGTGCACAAGAGTTTTACTTTGAAATGATTTTTGTATTGTAGAAACATTATTTAGTATTCCCTCCGTTCTTCAATACTTGTCTCGTATTCCATTTTGGGTTGTTCTTAAATAGTTGTTCTTTCCATTTTTAGAAAGTTTTTTCAATAAATATACCTATATACGCCCATTCTCTTTCCTACTTTTTTTTTATTCTCTTTCCTACTTTTTCATTTAAACACAACTCACTACACCTTTTACATTACCCCTATTATTTTTCTTAAAACCCGTGCCAAAGCCTAAGGGGACAAGTATTGGAGAACGGAGGGTGTAATAAAAAGATGCTCCGAACTAGATAATGTTTTTATTTTTATTTTTTATTTTTAAAGTTTGCCTTTATAATGCAAGATTTAGGGTTTGGTGCCATTGTGCATTTTCAGTCTTAGTATTGATTTTAGATTTTTATATATAATTGAGTACAAATTACTTCCTTCGTCCCAAATTGATGGTCCTATACTTCTTGGGTTCAAATATTAAGAAAGTGGGGGTAGAGTGATTCACATAACCTTACTTTATTGCATTGTTCATTCCTTTACTTTTCCTGTTCATAAAAAGGAGAGTTATATATTACTACCTCCGTCCCACTAAGATTGAGACGGAAAAGGGTGGCACGATTATTAAGAAAAGTGGGTTTGTGTGGTTGATATTAAATTGATAAAGTAAGAATAAAGTAAGAATTGTTTATAGCCACATAATCTTTACCAAATTTGGTATGAGACAATCTTAGTGGGACTTCCCGAAAAGGTAAAATGGGACAATCTTAGCGGGACGGAGGGAGTATAATCTACTTTAATTTCCTTACCAAAAAGGGAAACAAGACTATCATTTTGGGACAACCGGAATAGGAAATACAGGACCATCATTTTGGGACAGAGGGAGTATGATATAAAAAGAATAGTGAGCATGTTGTTGGTGGTGTGGCCATGATAATTCAAATTCGGTGGATGTGGTTGCATTGGTGTTGCGAAAAGGATTCCCTGATTTGGAAAAGTATCCCCATTTAGGATTTAAGCTTGCAAGAACCCACATCTGGAAACATGGTATGAAAACACGTTTGTTTTGTAAAAAAAACTCAATAACTTCAGTACTTTCTTTCATGTTGAGGCATGGTTATATTTGCTCTGCGTATTCCAGATCTACATGGAAAGGAGTTAAACAAGATTTACTAACATAATAAATACTCCCTCCATTCAGAAAATGATGTCCACATTCTGTTTGGTCAAATAAGACAGGTTCTCTAACTTTAAAAAATGAACTAGGCCAGCATTCTTGCAAAGTTTGTGCAACTATTTCACTTATCAGTTATGGCGGTGTTTCTGCTCATCATCATGTTAACAATTAGGGTGATAATTGCTCACAGTTTTTTTAATTTATGACAGTGGCATTGTTTAAATATGAAATTGGGCACCCAAGAATAATGTAATTTCAATTTTAATTCATATAAATGCCGCTTGAAAAAATAATCCACACGAGTGGCACATCATTCATTAACCTGATGATGTCAATAAAAACATGAGTATTGGAATTGTTACAATCTTTTGTGAAGATGATTGCTTAGTTGCACATATTAGGTGTATGATTGCACATTTTAAAGTTAAATGGTTGAATTCAATTTTCGTTGCTCGTTGTGCGGCTTAATTGATCATTATCTTTCTTTTTAGCATGTTCTGAGTGTTTGGCAACTTTCCTAGTTTTTCTAAAATAAACACCTTAAAGTGTTGAAGTAAATAGTACAATCTTCTTAGTGGGATCGCTGGAGTAACTTGTTATCTCTAGTACAGAGTATTATCTTTCAGTTGCATTTTCTACCTTCCCTACTGTAGATATTACTTGTATACCCTGTTTCTAACTTTTTGTTATTTTTCACTATGATTAAACCTTTTCAATATTTCCAGTTCATTTTATTTCCAAAATTCAGATTCATCATACATGTGTCTCAGGTTCAGAAAGCTTAGCTGAGCTAATTACTGCTGTTATGCAAAGGGTGGGGACAGCTGATGATCATGATCACCCACAACTTTTGGTAAGTGTTAAAGATGAGGAAGATATACCTTTCATTCTTCCACATACTCGTTGCTTCATCCATCCAGATTTAATCTTCCTATTTCGGTTTAGGATGTCTTGCTGATGATAAAGTAGATTTCCTTACCATGTTTATTTTTTTATTTCTTTTATTAATTTTTGAAATTCATATATCATATACCACCTCCGTCCCCCTAAGTTTGGGACAAAAGAAGGTGACACTGTTATTAATAAAAGTGGATTTATGTGGTTGATATTGAATTGATAAAGTAAGAATGATTTAGAACCACACAAATTTTACCAAATAAGGTATGAGACAATGTTAGTTGGACGGACCGAAAAGGTAAAATGAGACAATCATAGGGGGACGGAGGGAGTATGTAATAACTGCACTAAAAAAAATTTGAATCGCAGAAAATTGATTTCAAATATAATAGAAGTTCGATATGTAAAAACAATATATTAAAAGAGAGTCCAGTGGCCTGCCGAAATAGTGAATGTGAACTGTGAAGATTAAATAGGGACAGAGGTAGTATTTGCTTTCTTAGATTCTAATCCCCTTTTTCGCTTATATGTAGTATGAAGACGATGAAGGTGACAAAGTTCTGCTGACAACTGATACGGATCTTATTGGTGCTGTTTGCCATGCGAGATCAGTGGGATTGAAGGTGTGACTATGATCTATTTTTGTGTTTGATTTTTACATTCTACCATAAATGTAGAAGTATAATGCTTCACTAGGAAAAAAATCTTTCTCATATTGTGAATTCAAATCTTTTTGAAGACGTGAGCCAATTTGTCTAATTCATTAGCTGCTGTTTTTTAAATAAAAAGAACCACAATGATCTCATATGATTAGGTTCATTACTTTTGTATAAAAAACATATTGCAATTCATCTGATATAACATTCTTATTGGTGGTTGGACAAAATGACTTGACTTGCAACGATGGAAATTAAGTAGGAGAAGGGGAAGGGAATTGTTTAATAAATAATATTTGAGTCTGGATCACATATTCACACTATATCAGTGTTTGTTAAGCAGATAAAAGACCATTTAAACAGGGCAGGAATTGGGGTATATCAGTACATGCAAAAATCACAACATAAAAAGCTACCTAACTCTAGGTTCTTTCTCCAAGTCCATAGGTGGGCCTCAATTTGTGACTGCAAACCACCTCGTATGTTACTTAGTATTGAAGTTCCCTTCTCTGCTGCTGTGTTGCACACATATCAAAGTCGACAAAGCTGCCCGACAGATTACTATCCATGGAAAATAGCAACACTTGATGGGAAATTATATTGTAGTTTTAAATCTTTTGATGTGCCTGGATAGGCCAATTTCACATTGCTTCCGTTTTAGATATTCATTCTATTAACTCATGCCTTTCATCTATCTGGGAAATGTATTGCTCTTTGTATGAGCTGGATAGGCGATTTGGCAACGATTAAGGATAAAACTTTGATGCATAGTGTGTGTGGGGGGGAGGGGGGCAGTAACAATAGCTGTAAGACTTGGGGATGGGGTAGGGTAAAACTAAGAAAAAGTAATTATGAGTGATTTACTCAAGGCTTAATGAAGCTTTCTCTGTATAATATTCTATTGTTGCCCCTGTTATCTAATTTACATTACCTGTTTTGTTAGCTTAGAAAGCTGTAACAATCTCCTTACATTTATTCTTTCAGGTCTTGAGGTTGCATCTGGACTTCTCGGATTCTTCTTACAAAGAGACAAAAAAGGAAGAACCTACTTCCACCACCAGTACAGTACACGCTGGACTGGTCCCTGTCCATGCTGCTATTTTGGCTGGAGCAGTTGTACTAACAAGTGTTGGTGTATTAACTTACATGAAGCGCTCAAATACATGATCTAAGGGGAGTCATTAATTTTGGTTCCAGAGTGCTCCTCGCCTCCTCATGCTCTTTTTTGTGAAATTTGTTGAGTATGCCTATACAAAGATTATCTGGTAATTGATAATGTCTGTACAAGTAGGTGGACACTATGCAGTGATCCCTGAAAGAGTGAAAATCATCTCTCTGCACAAATTCCTCATTTCTGAGCTTGATAAAAAACAGTAGAAACATTACATCTGTTAGTGAGATGATGCGGGTAATACTGAAATCTGGACTGCATTTTTCATTCCTCTCAGCAATGATAGGTATGTGGTTTTGTTAGTCATAATATGACTAAATGGTTTCAAGTATTTTATGTATTTGGTTACTTGCCAAGTTTGTTGACAACTGAAGCCTGAAGGTCAAACGAGTCTTTATACTACATATATCATGTAGGGAATATGTAGTTTTGTTCCCAAGCAAAATGTTCATGTGTGAAGCTCTGTTTCATTGCTTGCTAATTGGGTGATATAGAGGATTGATTATCTCCTGATTCTGGAACTGGCCGTACAAATAATAGTTTGTTTCCTCCAAAAAATCCAGAGTTGGTCTAAGCTTGTTTGGTTCTTCCAAAATGCCTTATGAAATCCAGACATGGAGCGTACTAGTTATTTCTGATTACACACAAGGCCTACTTTGGAGTTTGGACCCATAACATGCTGGATATCGTTTAAAGCTTGGTCTATCCCTGATTGCTGGGGGGGGGGGCAAAGCATTTAAAGCTCCATTCTGAGTAGAAGTTTAAGTGTACTGGATATCGTTTTAACCTGGTTCGGAACTGGGTATATTCAAGTACCTTGTGTTTTGATCCCATACTTTGATCCCATGTGTATGGGATCTGTGCCAGCCCAAAATGCCCACCTTTATGAGAAACGGAAAGGTCATGAATCATGACAACTGTCAAGAAGCAGTGAGAGTTCAAATTCTTGGACGAAAGCAGATGGAGCTGTAAAAAGATGCAAATTAAAACTAAACGGGTACGCTTCTCTTCTCCATATAAGTATCAATAAACCATAGTCTTATCACATAGGAGATATAATCATATAAGTTGAAATCTAACTAGCTCCTAGGAACCCATCTTCATACTACGAATGAAGGAGTATTCTCATCCTCAACTAGTGTTATTTTATAAATAAATTCATTTTTAAGTGTGTAACTCCGTCTCTAGCTCCTAGTTCCTAGCACAGAAAATAAGTGTGTTAATGTATTTGATGTCAATTTACACATCAAACAAACAATTATGTATATGTTTTTTATATTCTCATTTTTAACAAATTGCCCATATACACAGATAGGGGTGGACTCGGGCCGGTTCGGGCCCGGTTCGGGCCTGGGCCCGGCCGGGCCTCGGGCCAGAAAACTAGGGCCCGGGCCCAAACCGCCGGTGGGCGGTTCCGGTTCCGGTTCCGGGCCAAACCGGGCCGGGCCGGGCCTTTTTTTTTTTTTGGTTCTCCTTTTTAACCCCCTACCCCTCCCCCTCAACCCCAAACCACCCCAAACCACCTCAAATGGCCCAAAATACCTAATCCAACCCAAAACTTAAAAAAATTTCAAAAAAAAAAAAAATTAAAATCCGGCCCGGACCGGGCCCGAACCGGCCGGGCTGGTTCACCAAATGGAGGGCCCGGGCCCGGAACCGGTATCCACCGGGCCGGTTCGACCCGAACCGCCGGTGGACCGGGCCACCGAGCCGGGCCGGTTCACACAGTAACCGGGCCGGGCCGGTTCCGGTTCGGGCCGCCCGGCCCGAGTCCAGCACTATACACAGATATCTTGAGCGGCGTGTACGAAAACGTATACAAATGGCGTGTGTACTCTACTACTCTGGCATGTTGAATCATACTTTATTTTCTGGATAAATCCAATGTTTAGTTGTGTTTAAGAAACATTACTTGAATAAGAACCAACATGTGACCATTCCAAATGTATACGTTCAAGTCCACCTCTTGGTACATGTATATGGGCCCAAAACCATGTTCAACTTTCACTGTTCTACAAGTTCTCTTGTAGATGCAGATTGGGTTGAAAATCACATCTTTTTTCCTGTTTAATTATTTTAATAAAATAATGATTGATTACGTTCAATTTTTTAATTGAATATGAATGCGAATTATAATGTCATACAATTTTAAAGTGGATTACAATCTTGATTGCAGAAGATGACGCCCACGGAGGCACTTGCCTCCACATTGAGATGATTATCTCGAAAAAACATTTGAATCACACAAAAGTGAATCCTAATCTCAATAGCACAAAATACGGATTACGGAGTATGATTTTGCATGAAGGTGACGGCTAAAAAAATCTACTCATGCAAAATTCTTATAGACAGAATTATGGTTGATAGCTCATAAAATTGCTAAATGATGATGATTGGTCATTGTAAAATGATACTCGCTTTGTCCCTTTCTAATTATCTTATTTGCCCTTTTAGGTTGTCCCAAAATGAATGTCATATTTTCATTTTTGACAAGAAATATGTAATTCATATCATTTTACTTCATTCTACTCAAATCTCAATCACAATTTTTATTTTTCAACAATTTTATTAATAATAGTGTATAACTAAAACAAAATATTCAATATGATACGGAGGCTAACCTGATTGTGATTCAACATAATATAATGACATTAAGATCTTTGAGATAGTTAAGGTAGCAACCTTGCGACCATTATTGTCACTAAAAGCATTTTCAATAAAGCATTTTCAATGTAACAATGTATTTAGTGCATACATGATATAAGATAAATACACATAAAATTAAATTAATGAATAATGACACTTCTCTCTCATTATTGCATTCTATGTTTCTTTTTCTCTACACCTAAATGTTATATATGACATTATAGAAAAATAATGTAAAAAATAAATAAGATCATTCAAATAAAGGAGAGATTCCATTTGTTAATTTTTATGTGTTGCACCGAGGGTTGATGTGACATGAAAGACAAAATGTTTCTCTTTCTTAGGAAATGAAATGAATCATCGTGTTGATAATGCACAAGTGCAATATAAATGATTAAATGAAATGAAATTGTCTTTATTATGTTGCAAATTTTCTATTCTCGGTTCTAAAATGACACTATTTTCGCACAACACTTGAAATTAGAACATCGCACCTTATTTTTTGCTTGATTATTCCACACACAAAAAACGTAGTGTGTATATTATGTGCCATATAGTTCAATTATATATTTGGTCATAACCTATGACGACAAACTCATGAATGGAGTAGCACCATGTAGATCACAACAGCCCCCATTTCCATCTACTCTACTCCACACTGAGTATGATACATCTCTTCATTTGCCTCCCTAGTCCATGATGCCTTGATACATGTGCTTTCAGCCCTGTTTCCAATGCCACACCAAGCTGCTCCGCAGCATCTGTTGAAGCTGCATTGGAGGCATAGTTGCTGCTGCTTACCATAATCATCATTATACTTATTGCCTCACTCCCTCCACTTCAGCAGCAGCAATGTCTTGAGAGTTGAGATGGCCTTTCCAAAGGTAAGAGCAACGACATCAAGTTATGTTCAGAGACCATTTATTATTACCTTCCCTGTTCTTTTCCGTTGTGATGCAGCCATTCATTCCAGGAAAGTGAATGTAAGAGGGAAAGGGTATACTAAATTCGTTTCAACAGTCACTGTTCATATTCAACACTTCGTTGCGAATACAGGGCCTAGATGTATTTTCTTCACCATTTATTGCTACATGTCGTTACAAATTTCACCTCTGCACAGGTGGTTGTCTGTCTGTCGATTTCCTTTTTACCTTGAGTGACAAAAGACGTGAAACTTCATGAAGGCCCCCCCATTTTTCCAATGCACGAGCAATATCATAGCGGCCTGTAATAGTTAATAATAATGTATTAATCTAAACTAAGCACCAATAGCAATGGTTGTTTTAAGCACTTTTTATTATAAGAAATTTCCCAAAGGAAGGCACCTGCTCGTTCAAAAGATTTTCTGCTGGGCATATAAGTCAGATCCATTCCCCAGATTCTTTGGAAACGACTAACCTGAACAATTCATTTCATCAAAGGATCAATTTTTAAACATGAGAAAAATGAATGCATTGTCATTATTTATGAGTAATGAGTGAATGGAATGAGATTTCCATTTAGCTTTGTTGAACAAAAGAGACCTCATCTTGGAGATTCTCTAGGCTATCCCAGTAACCTTTTGGTTTCCGTTGTTTATATGAAAGGGAGAGATTCATCAAAAATGCAACTCTTCTAAATCCACCCATTCTTGTAACTGCTTTCTCAATGTCCACCCTTCCATGCTTACGCAATTCCTTTCTCATGGGCATAAATCCCACATGCCCGTGCTCTGAAATAAAAGACAGAAGCTCCGCTTTTAGAACTTCCATATCCCTCTGCAATCCAGGAACTTTGGGTCTTCGTCTGATTGATTTCAAAGCAATGGGATTTGGATTCTTTTCAGCTATCTGACTGGAGTCAGCAGGCGAGTCGTTGTCATGAAGAGTTTGTGCCTCACCATCTGCCACTACAGCATTAGCCGCCTCTCTTTTTTCAATGTAATCTCGAATAGCACATAGGTTTGCAGGGAGGTCTTCATATATGACCTACAATATCAGGAGGACTACCTTTAAGTGTCTTCTTAATCATGACCTCCATCCCAAAATTTAGCTGATTTCATTTAAGGTACAACCTTACAAGTTTAAAAATTTTAAGCGTCCAACTTTTAAAACTCATTCATCCTAAAACTTGCTTATTTAGAGCACTCTTAAAGAAAAATAAGTTTTGAAACAAGGTTGATACTTTGGGACCTAAGTAGTTAAATCGCTACTTGGTAGCAACTCGGTCAAGGGCCGAGTAGCAAGTAGGACCTAATACTCGGGATTACTCAATGACTAGTTGGTCCTATATTAATTATTTTTAAATATATAAATATCCAAAATTATAGTAATATATTATTCTTAAAATTTTTAGATATGAAAAAAAATCCCAATGAAGAAGAAACGAAAAAGAAGATAAAGTCATGGAGGAGAATAACTTACCTAGAGATGAGGAGGAACCACTGCTCAAATGAGCAGATGTATGAAATACTTTTGAACCTAGACTTTTTAAAGTTTATTTCCAATTTTTAAAATACCCACTTAATATTTATAAATTCCATAATATCCCTCTTTAATTAAAACTTTTCAGATTTAACAATAAACAATTTTTTTTTATGCCTGACCGAGTACTCGGCAAGTAACTCAGAAATATTATACGGACCGAGTCAAGTAGCTAATCGGCAAGGTCACCACCGAGTTGCGACTTGCGAGTACTCACCCAGTAGATAACCCAGTTTGGGACATAGAAAAAAGAAATAAAACTTTAGTCAAATTATATTATACTCCCTCCGTCCCACTAAGAATGTCTAATCTTTCCTTTTTGGTCCATCCCACTAAGATTGTCACATACCAAATTTGGTCAAATTCGTGTGGTCCCAACTCATTCTTACTTCATTTTTACTTTATCAATTCAATATCAACCACATAAACCCACTTTTCTTAATAACAGCATCACCTCCTCATGTCCCAATGTTAGTGTTGCGGAGGTAGTAAAAGGTATGACGAACTCTAGGACAATACACCCAGAGTTCCATTGAGACATAAATGTAGTAGAAAACTTTACAAATAAAAACAAAAAAACAAGAGCCGAGCATATAATGATTTGATCGTAGAAGTGAAGAGAAACAGCTAAAATAAAGACCTCTTCCATAATTGCTTCAGATAGAAATGAGTTCTTGTGCATTTTGGACTCCACGCTATATTTCAATAGTATATGATGACTTCCTAGTTGCTCCAGGAACCATTTTCCTTTAAATGAATCGAAGTCCCCCTCAACCTGCTCAAAGCTAATCTCTTCTTCAGCCCTTTCACACAACTCTAGGATAACATGTGCATGAAGTGCCATATATAGAAGACCCTTGCATCCTTCCTGTAAAATGAGGGGTCATTTTCGGATGATTGTCATTTGGCATGCCTATGTATTATATCGTTGGCACTTTTACAGGAGAAGAAATATTATCTAAACAACAAATCAACCCGCCCCTCCAAGTGGTTAAGTAGTGACCATGTGTCTTCAATAAGTACTCATGATGCATTCCTACAACACTCTGCAAGGGCTTCTTAATGGTGATCCAAACCGACTAGCAAAAAAATTATAAAACTCATTTGACTCACAAGAAAAGGCTTTGGAAATACCTGAAGAATGCGAACTTTGTTATGTTCTCGTGATAAGATCTTACACATAGCTAAATTGGGAACTATCCTGCATATTTCAGTAGAAAAGTTCATCAACAGGTAACCTTGACAGCAACTGAACACGGATGCTGAATGCATTGCATAACGTTTAGGTTTCTAAGACTTTTAGATGAGAAAGAAATTGCACTAATTTTCTGCCAATATATTCTACTAAAACTCTGATTTATCTTTCTTGCAAGTATCTTTTTGTCCTCTTTGTGTTTACTTTATACTTCTTTCTACTTTCTAGTTTTTGTATGCACAAAATGCACGCCGATCTTTACTCAGCATGTTCAGTGAATTTATGAAACAAACTATTGAAAGAGAAGCTGGACTGAACTTCAGTCACTTGGCAACGATCAAAACGAAAGAATGTCTTACATGGCTAAAGTATACTATGCTTTTACAACATAATATCAGTCCCTTTACAGAAACAGATGTTCCTCAAGAAAATATGTATTTCAGTGTAGCATAGAAAATTTTAATGCTTGCATAGTGAGATGGAAATGAACACTGTAAATCATTGGATACATATTAAGGCAACAGAGGGTATACTAGCAAAACATACAAGGTATGGGAACTGAAAGGCTGCATTTCTTACTCAGGAAGATTCTCATAAGAAGTCAAAACACTCCACACTTCATGAACAGGAGCCCTAACCGTTATGCTAGCAACAACACAGCGATGGACACCATCGTTTTCCTTCAGTGGAAAAAATCAATTTGCTAGCAGGTTATTTTTGTATATAGCAATATGGTTTTCCAGATAAAGGCGTGGGGCAGGTGCAGGGTCAATCAATTACCAATAATCCATCAAATCTGCGAAGATGAACTTCATCCACCGTGCTTGTCCTGTTAGCTTTGAAGTTTTTCCCAAAAAGTCCCCAGTTACTGTTTACTTCACCAATAGAAGGAACCCCCCATGGGGCAAACGTAGCTTTTGTTAAGTTACCCTTGAGTGCACCAGTGGAGAGTTTATCCTTTTCTGGTGCCAAAACATCAACATTTGTGCTTGATGAAACAAAGGAAGCAACAGAGTTTGCGCTCGTGTTTGCATTGATGGAAATTGTACTTTGAGTGCCAACAAAATTGTTTTCGGCTTGGGAAGCTAATGCATAAAGATTCACAGGAAGGTCTGATCTGATAATTCTCTCCAAGAATATTGCTGGAAAGTTAAACCTTGGAATCACATTGACTTCATAACACAGCATAGTCAATGAAGATCTGAAAGAGAAAGTCAGAAGTTTTCTTGTAAATGA